AAAAAACATTCAATGAACATGTCTCAAGGAGACCTGAACCTGGAATAACGGGTAGAGGAGCACTGACTTCTAATCCGGGGAAGAGAGGCTCAGCAGGAAACAAAGCGTTAGCAGAAGTAGGTGCTGGAGCAGGGACGTGCGATGTTTATGCATCGCACGAGGTATACGAAGTTCGTGATTGCTCTTGCCGAATCATGGCTTCCCAAATTCCCGTTGCCCTAAAATGAGCTTGCCAGAGTTGATACAATTGAAGTTTGCCGAGAAAGTTTAGGTTTATATCGTATTACATACTCAATAACGCAGCATGGAGGGGACGGCTGCCGGAAACGCAATATGCGGTGCTGAATTTCCTGAAAAATGGCAAAATTATTGTTAGGAAATCTTGGAGAACTATATGGCAGGATTTCACAAAATGATGTTAAGAGCAAATAATAAAGTAAGTGTCTAAAATTGTGATACAAAGTGACGACATAAGCCAAAAGTCAAACCTTTTGACCTTGTGCAGTCTTCAGGTGCTCATCAAGTTCGGAGAGAGACATATTCAAACGGCCAAACAGTAATCTAGGTATGCTGAAAATCAGATGGAAATTTGTTTTAATAAGTACTTCTCAAAAAAAAAGAAAAAGAAAAAAGAAATCGTCCTCGTAGTCGAAGTACGCTCAAGCTTAGGCTGTTACATAAAGAAGAAAGCTCAAGACTGCTTAGGATGATACAACCTAGATGCATGCAGAACTAGAGATTCAAGAAGAAGCAGGCCATATGTTGGACAACTATGATAATCAATACTTACTTGTGCATAGGAGCAGGTCTTTTATTGAAAAATTTAAAGTCAAATTCAAGCATCTTCTCCATTTGCTTTTCGGTGACTTCCTGCTTCACATATAATAATGTTCTGAAAATATTGTTTCTTCAGTCGGAGGCTGAGTATGGTCGATGCATACAGAAGTCGAAATTTAAGGTTTAACAACACTGCATATTAAGCCTTACCCAACAGAGGTGACATTTTCATTTCCATTTGATTGCTCATTCACGAAAGCTGAATTAGCTTTCATGCTGCTTTTATGAATAACCTACAATAGTGTGCTTAGAGACATCCGTAACTCCAAAACGCCAATTTGCTGAAAAACTGCGACTTCTTTTTGAAAAGGACAGGACATGGCTTGGAAAAACGAGATACTAGTCCTTTTTTGTTAGAAGAAATCAACCATTTTGCACTCAATTATTTCTACAACGGAATGACATGAACAAACCTCGTATGAATTTCCACTTTCCTTCTTACAAGGATAACGGTCCGGTTCGATGACTTTACGAATGGAGCGGAACGTTTGACATCCCTTCCGAAGACACCCGGAAAAACTTCCTCAGCAGGGAAGGTAACGGTGAATTGGTCAATGGTAATAAAAGAATGGCCCCTACTCACAAACTTCCATAAATACCTTTCTGACAAGTTGGTACCATTCAGAAAATAACTCTGTTACTCATTTCATCGCAAGCACTACACTTGCATGAAGGATTGTTCTGGAAAAATGGGATAACCTGTAAGTGGCGTATTCTCGAGTCTCCCCTTTGTATTTTGTTTTGCGGAGGCCAAGCTTCATTGAATTATTGCAAAGGTGACAGTATATCTCTCCAGGCACTTCTTTGGTTTGACCGTTGAATGAAACTATATGGCCAGGCGTTACTGCAACTCCTGAATTATTACGCATTTGAGAAGTTTGAAACGAAGTTTCAAAGATACCATCAGGTAATTTCAAGTTGATGGGAGCCAGGCTTTCGAGTGTTACGGGACCAAACATACGTGTTGGCAGAACTCGCGCCGGCTTGCATAGCTGTCAGGACCATTTGCAAATAGTGCATTCACAGAAAGTTTTGACAAAGCGAAACCAATTTATAGCACTAGTAAAAGCAATAAACAGATTAAACCATACTGTAGCTTCACTCTTTGCCTTCATTGCTGAGAGGGGAGTTACGTAAGTTGCTTGGTTTTCAAACGAGTTTCCTTCTCGTAAATGAACAGTCCTTGAGATACTTTTGGAAATGCTTAATTCGGAGAGCCACCGTGCTATCAGCAGGCCTCGGCACGAGAACTCTATCCGGA